AAACTATCGCGGGCCCCGACCAGCAGCGGAGCCCTCTCGGCTGGCAATAATTATTCCGATGTAGATAGCCGGAGCGCGCGAGCGTAACTCGAACGTTAATGCGCGCCGGAGCGGCCAATAGCGAACCGCTTGTCCCGCGTCGCACCCTCGGCAGTACTCGGACAGATTGCCGAGCTTCGACGCTTTCTTTTCTCGATTGCCAACGAAGCTGTCCAGGCTACGGGTCGACAAACTCGCGCTGCAAAATCAACGTGCATAATGATTTCTTTTCTATTTCCGTTGGGCTATTTTCATTAAGTCTGCCAGAAGAACTCGCTTGGATTGACGAGCGTTTGAAAAATCTTCGAGATATGAATGCGTGAAAATTGAAAAAAAACATCGTAAGCAGTATCTTTGGGACACCTTTGAACGGCGTTGAAAAGCAAAGAGTCAAGCTATAGCCGCTAGCAGTAGTGGTGGTTGTGCCTCGTTTAGTAAACCCTCTCGAGATATATTCATGCCGTTGAGCGGTAATAACGATAAATTGCCGGGGCGTAATGGCCACAACGGCGGCGGCGGCGGCGGCGGCGGCGGCGGCGGCGGCGGCGGCGGCGGCGGCGGCGGTGCAGCAACACGATCGCCCAAGCTCTCTCCCTCGACGTATACGCTCCTTCCGATACTCTGTTTCTTATATTTATTGGACTCGCCTTATAGTCTGGCGACCTCGCCGATTTGCGTTCTCACGGGCTCGCTGCTCCCGCTTCTGCTGCTTTTGTTTTTCATTCGCGCTTTATTTCACCTTTATTGGCACTATGATTGCTGTATTGTTCATTGTTACTGACACTATACCGTGCCTGCTAATTTTTTCCTTCTCTTCATCCTAATTACGTACTTTCAAACCGAATTGTAATAAGCTTCACACAGGTTTGTCGTAATTTCAGTTTATCAGAATGGAGAGTGAAACGAATTTCAACATCATCGTTCGTTATTTGTCAGTTTTCTAGATTTTATTGAAAAAAGTGTAACTGCAAAAATATGCCAATGCCTCGGACGCAGAGAAAAATATATATAATGAAAATCCTTTCATATTATAATTTATTATTTACAAGTTAGACTTTACATGTATATTTCATTAATCATTCTTTTAAAGTTTACAGTTCTCGTGAAAAGCCACCCAGCATCAATCCGCAATATTACGAAATTCAATTGATCTGACTGAATTAAATAAATAACAACAGGAAAGATTATTTTTAATTGCGATGTGTAGATGGACACGTGCAAGAATCGTTGTGGATTGAAATATTTACTGATTCGTTCAAATACAGGTCAGTATTACGAGTGAATTGCATGTGCTCGCTACCTTAACAGCCTTGTAATTTTGTAACTTTCACAGACTTTGTCATTAGAATAGTTTTAAAAAATATGTCAATTCTGGACTATGTACCAACATTTCTATTTCGCATATACTACGTATTTTATGCAGTTCGACAAAAGCTTCAAAATATTTGGCAAATTAATTAAAATTATAATTCACGGATCTTTCGAAATGCAGCGGCATTGAAGTATTCCAGATCTGTTATGTAAACCTTTCCAAAGGACAAACTCATCAAACTTCTAATTGCACCCACTTACCAACGCTTATATACCCTTCAAACTCTCACGTCGGAAACAACAGTGCACAAAACACGACTCACGAATAAAAAGAAGAGTGCAGCATGTCCAGTCGCAATCCAACTTTCAACTTTGAAAAAAAAAAAACATGACACGAGTCGCTTTGTAACGAGTCGGGGGTTATAAGTCAATGCAGATTTCCGTGTAGACTCTTGTGCTCTCTAGAATTTTCGTTCCACCCTTGGCCAACAAAAAAAAGTGAGCGAGCAAGAGAGAGAGAGAGAGAGAGAGAGAAAGGAAGTTACGACGGGCGGCGCATATATGCATGAAGACGAGCTGCGCTGCTGTACCTACAGTTTGTACAAGTGCCGAACTTTTGCGCCCCCGTATTACCTCGAGTTATGCAGTGCGAGGAGCCACGCCATTGTCACGGCTTGCTCGTCCTGCCTTCCGCCCTTTCCTGCTTTGCAGAGAAAACTTTTTTCACAGTTTCGTATAAAGGCTTGTACGGATCGCTGCTTGAGGATCGCGACATGCAGGCAACAGCCAAGTTGGAGAGTAAGAAAATTTGAATTGGCGCTTTCAACTGTTCCCGATGGAATGGGAAAACAATTGTCCTCACATATATAGAACTCCTTTCGAACTGTTCGATACGGTGTTTCCGTAAATTTTCGATAAACAATAAAAATAAAAGTAACCAGATTACAACTTGCGCGCGAAAACTTATCTATTGTAGTGCTGCGCTAACCGAATGGAATAAAGTAAATTCATGAACGCGCCGCAGAAACGTGATGCGGTTGACCTCCCTCGAACACGCAAAAAGCACGCGCAGCATCCCCCGACAGCCCACTGCTGTTCTCTCGCTCGACCACAGACTCCCGCGGGGAGGCAAAAGCAGGAGAAGGTTGCAATCCTCTCTTTTTCCAGGGCGTACTCCCACGCTCTCTCTCTCTCTCACTCTCTCTCTCTCTCTAATGTCTAACGAATAGCCCCCAATAAATTCATAAGCCAGCCGGAACAAGTCCGCCGAGATGCACAACATGCCCGCATTAAAAGACCATAGCCTCCTCTCCCGCTTATTGTACCCACTCGAAAGCCTCTCAAGTAATGTCCAACACCCCCCCCCCCCTCCCTCTCTCTACTCCCGACCCCTTTATTAATATCTCCGCATAGAAAACAAAGTTGCGTGGCTTGGCCATGGTGGAAATTAGGCTATTCGTTGGTTAGCCTGCGTAATCAACTGTGTGTGCCTATTATAACAGTTTCGCTTTTAATCAATCTGTATCTTGTTTACATTTTTCAAAAATAATGTTAAAATTATTGTTACTTATTTAAGCGATTTTATATAAGTATCAATGAGGTGCAGATATTGTTTTCAGAATTGCTGCAAAAGCTTTTTGTCATAGGGTGACAGACGATTTTACAACGTCACGTACCATGATACTACTCAACTAAATAGTAATCATAGCTGACACAGCAGTTTTTTCCGCGACTTTCGTGTCATTTAATTTTGACTTGGTCTCGCGCACGCATTTATATTTATATTTAGGTGTATAGCAAGCGCTAAAAAAATGAGGAATTTAAAATTTCCTCTAATAATTTAAAAGATCACGTATCCAAATGCCACCAGATGCGAATAGTAAAATTTGAATCGGGTCAAACGATAATAATGATATTTCAGCTTTTTTCTCTGTATGATGATAATCGCAAAGAAACGAAAACGTCAACTGAAACTAAAAAAGTTACTGTAAAATGATAGTTGAATTCAAATAAATAAGAAACAACACATACTTATGCGCTATTTGGCATAGGAATCGTAAGGGGAAAAGAAATGACACTGCACCGACGCATAATCTCGGCAGCATAATCCATCCCCTAAACGTTTTCCTCTACAGCGCGAAGCCTTTATCTCGCGCGGCTAACAACCATTAATTACGATCGCCGTACGAGTGCATACTCGCTAAGCCTTACACATACATCAAAGACTTGCATGCGCCGCGCGCAAAACCAAGTCATCTCAAACTGTCTAGTCGCGGTTGGATTAACAGTTGGACATTGACACCGCTATGCCTTCGCGTTCTTCGTTTTCCCCGTCATTTGCGTCATACTTGCGGGATTTGATCGAGCTGGAAAATCGTTTCCTGTTTGCGAGTTTGATGGTTTTGCAGAATTGCTTTATCGAAAGGATGAGAGAGAGAGAGAGAGAGAGAGAGCGAGAGAGGCTGTCTCCAGGTTCTATAGGTCATTTAGATGGTTATGTCAAGTGATTGCGGGATGATGGATGACTGTAATACTTTTCTGAGATTCACGGTTAAATGCTTATCATGGATGTAGCCGTGCGTATTAAAAGTCTTCAAAAGAGTTGTATTTTTTGCATCGTTAATCCGGAACCCATGGATTCGTGTTATTAAAGAAAATTAGAGATCGCTGCGTGTGTCTATTGACGCGTTAAATTTTAAATCGGATAATATGATTGTTTGCAAAAAAATGTGGTATGCATAGCCTTCACGAAAGGCAGAACGAGTAAGACAGAGAGAGAGAGAGAGAGAGAGAGAGAGAGAGAGAGAGAGAGAGAGAGAGAGAGAGACCGGAATGACAATTCCCCTAGTAAAACGATCCATTGACCAACATCCTGCGAGCCAGTTGCGCAACACAGCGGTCCACTGATCTCTCTGTGGACTCTTGTAAAAATGTCACTCACTTTATCTATCTCCGCTCATCAATCCGCTCATTTCCGCTCGTCTCCTCCATATACATACATACATACATATGTGTATATATATATATTATACACACACACGCACATTACACACCATATAGTCGACCCCAAGGTCCTGGCGCGTCTATTTGCACTTTCTCTCTGCCTTGCGCGCAGATCTTCTTATCAACGCTATTCATCTGTACGGTTTTTCCCCACGTATATACGTTTACGGCTGCTTTTAAATTATCTGTGCCACAAAATTCTTTCCGAATGCGAAACGTGCCATCCGCATGAGTGGATCTAATGTATACTATATATAATATGAATGATTCAGGCTTCCTTTTTCGATGGTTTCTTTGACTTTGCTCATTCATTCAATAGAGATTGGCAATTTCATTTAGAAAATTTTGGCTTAGCGCCAGTGACGTTTCATTGTGTATTCGTTACTGAGTTTCATGATATACTCTGGCGAAACGTCAACATAAATTATGATGAGATTCTTATCAAGTTTTAAGCCTGAACGAATATTTTTTGGTGAAAGAGACAACAGGCATCGAAATATCGAGTTCCGTAGACTGCATTCCTATTTAAAAGTTCCCGGTTCTGCAAATTGCGTGCGCGCGCATTGTGCAGTGGCTTGATGGCTGTGGATCACTGAGGTGAGGTAGTCTACTCAAAGCAGAAATACGCATGCGCTGCGCAACCAGCTACTACGCACTAAGGCCACTAAGCCAAGACAGGCAACGCTCGCCATCGTGACACTGTAAACAACGGCAACTCCAATTATCGTACTCGTTAAATATTTGCTCGATTGTACACTAAAATTACTTTGAGTACAGTTACTTTTCGAGTAATATCGAAGTACTCACGTACGATAAACTAGTTTTATACCACCATGGCTGGAGCTGAATATTTGGCTCAGATTTACGGTACAGAGAAAGACAAGTAAGTATTTTACACTCAAGCTAATCTACATATCTTATTACGTTTTAACAACGTTTATTTTTCTAGTTATTATTTCAATGTTTAATGGTGCGTATTAATTTTACAGGGTCAACTGCTCGTTCTACTTTAAAATTGGGGCATGCCGACACGGAGATCGTTGTTCTCGAAATCATAATAAACCAAGTTTCAGCCAGACTTGCGTACTGCAAAATCTTTATGTTAATCCGCAAAATTCAGCAAAAAGTGCAGATGGCTCTCACTGTGAGTATTTCTAAATGTACAATTTGTATAACCGTCAAACGAATGCAAGCATCATTTTTTTCTAACCTAAAATTGTTTATATATCTCAGTGGTCGCCAATGTTTCTGACGAAGAAATGCAAGCCCACTACGATAATTTTTTCGAGGATGTGTTCGTAGAGTGTGAAGATAAATATGGTGAAATTGAGGAGATGAATGTTTGTGACAATTTGGGAGATCACCTTGTTGGAAACGTGTATATCAAATTTAGGCGAGAGGAAGATGCTGAGAAGGCTATGAACGAAATGAATAACAGATGGTTTGGAGGTAGGCCTGTTCATGCTGAACTGTCGCCTGTAACTGACTTTAGAGAAGCGTGCTGTCGTCAATATGAACAAGGGTAAGTTATTTTTAATGTTTATGAATGCTATAGTATAATGACTCGAAGTAATGTGCTAGGATCAACGAAGATAAACTCTATTCGTTGATAAAACCAGAAGAATTTTATTTAATGTAAATACATATTTTACATAGAGCATATACAATGCTATAGAGAATTACTTTTGTTTTAAAAATGTATAACGATTCTATCAGAAAATGTATCTGCTTGTTTGGCAATTTGATCTGTTGCAGAGACAATTTTTGTACTCAAAAATTTGAACAAGTTTCATGATTTTATTACATATTGAAAAAAGATAACTTGCGTAACAAGACTTTTTCATTGATTTTTAACCGGAAATACAATTTCTTGTCACTTATAAATCATCACTTGTAAAACATAGTTAACTATTAAAAAATAACAAACTCGATTATGTATTCAACCGATAAAAATTGCTCATTGGAGTTTGATGTCTATTTCAAAGTTAATATTTATTTTAAATTCTCATTGAAATATTGTTAATGATATTGAATTACTTCTTGACTATTGCTGCAAACGGTGAGTAAAAGTGATTTTGGGCTGGAGTGTTAAGAATTGTACTTACCTTATTTCATTATTACGAAGAATTGTTTCTTGTTTTATTTGCACTGTAGATAAGAATTTCAAATCAATCATGCGAATCCCTCCAAGTTTTGTACAATGATTGAATTCCAAATAAATTCAATGACATTTAATGTTTTTTCCAAAAATCTGATATGCAAAATTAATTTTTTGAAATCTTTATTTGCAAAAAACCTAAATTAACTATTTCTTTTTTGCAATGATAAAATATAAATCAACGTGAAAAATGATCGTAAATTTTTTTTCTAATAAACTTAAATTACACACAAAGTTTATTACATCATATAAATTAAAAAAAATTGTATTAGATAGACATACGATTTTTGTCGCATAGCCTTGATAAAAAATATTTAGCATATTCAGTAGTGTTGTTTATGAATGAAAATATTGTTTACAGAGAATGCACGCGCAGTGGATTTTGCAACTTTATGCACTTGAAGCCCATTTCCCGTGATCTTCGTCGTTATTTGTACAGCCGTAATAAAGGAGGTAGTAGAAGATCTAGATCTCGTTCAAGGTCTCCAAAACGTTCTCGTAGAGGCAAATCACGTGACCGTCGGTCTAGATCCAAGGATCGTCGTAAGGGACGAGATAGCCGCTCTGGACGCTATTAAAGCTCAAAATATAAACGCCAATGAATCCGATTTTGTTAGAATAACGAAGACAGTTAAATACCATTTCAGAATAATTATTTGATTTTAACAATTTATTTTGATTAAATGCCCATTGATAATGTTACAAAGGATCTTTGTATTAAAACCACATTATGATAAGAAATAAAAATATATTAACATGAAAGAACTTTTCAATTTTACAAACCTTACATTATTTTTGTTTAAGTTTGGTTAAAACGACACACGTATCTTGTTCCCGTACCTTCTTTCATTTATGTTTTTATTTTAAACCATTATCAAAATAATTACTTAATATTAGTTCGTATTTTTGATCGTAGAGATCACATAAAACTTATGTTTAAATTTAGATTTTCGATATTATATTAGGATAGTATTATACAATAAATTATACTCGGTGAATAACTAATAATTTTGGTACCCTATAATTTTTCCCGACTTTCGTATGACTTCATCGGCTTTATATATCACAGGTACATGGTTACAATAAAACACGGAAAACCTCAATGAAATACAGAAATGTTTTTCCTGGAGAAATAAATACGATAAAAAATATACCTGTCCGCGCCATTGAATACAAACGACATTGCGAAATTGTCAACCCGTATAAGAAGCTACAAATATTTATTCTTTGCTGAAGTTCTTTACTTAGTTTTCTTAGACACTATCTTGTTAAAATTGGAATTTTTTGATATATACATATAAGAGTAAGAATAAATGTAACAACAATATAAATCGCGGATTTATACCATATTTTGGTAGCCGCTAATCTTTAAGATTGAATTCTTCAAGCAGTTTTTCGAATGATTTTTTTCGTACAACTACAATAACTTAAACCTCTGAATCCTTTGAAGAATCAAACCAACGATAATCTAGGGCTGAATTTTCAAGTACTCGAGACTTTTGTGCCGTCCAGAATTAATTAGACATTCGACGAACCAACAGCCATTCACGGGGGACATCGTTTGGCTCTTTGATCAGTTCTTTTTTATCCACACAGCTCGAGGCCACAGTCAGTCGTTTACGCTTTTTTTGTTCCGGGCATCTGTATACGCATTTGTTTTTCCACAAAAGCCCATCGCTGGCATTGTGCAGCTTTAGGCAACAATCGGGAGGCGCTTCCATTATCGTTGGCCACGCGTCCACTTGACATGGCACGCGGCGGCGTGCCGGCAACCGGCTGTGCATTTTGATGCTATGGAAATGAATCGTACGAACTTCCAAGCGCACGCTATATACGTACAAGCTTTCTCATGTAGATGCTTTATTGGTGGTGCGTTGCTGCTTTGAATTTTTGATGCTCCAACAATATTTGCCTCCAGGTGTTTCTTCGAAGGGTGCCCATGAGATTAAATGGATTAACGAGAACAAGGTTCGCGTAGTAACTTTTTAGCCATTCTTGTTTTCATCAACATGTATATTTATGGATCAATAGCCAAAGGTTTAGGGCCTGAAAATTACATTTTATCCTAGGCATATGAGTTAGAAGCCTAATTTCGACTGTTTCTTTATATATTCATCATTTTTTTTAATATACGAAATCACACTTGGTAGGTACGCAAAGACAGATCGGCGAAACGAGACTAAATGCCGTTTATATTGCCAAATGAGATACAAGTAATCAACGAGCATGATATAACTTCTGTAGGCTATTTTCCCATTTTTTACAATCCAAAGGTATACACAAACTTCGCGACCGTTAACCTAACCTCGGAAATTCATTCATGCCGATCAACGTGCGCGCAGCGAGTGTGTTCTCGAAGTAAGCGCTGCCAGTCAGCAGCGAGTTGTCCTTCCCCTCTCTCTTTGCATCTAGTAACAAGTCGGCGATAAGGCACGCGCGTCCCCCTCCCCCTACATCCACATACACACGTGTGTGAGCCTGGTTCATTCACGGAATAAGGACTTCTCTCGGTCTTTCCATCTTGGAAATAATTAGGAGGACCAAGATCGATGCTGCGCGCGCGAAGCGCTGCGGGTCCGAAAAACCGTTGCCTCTCTCCCTCTCACGCAGAGGGCGAGATAAGATCGCGCGAATGGGTCCCTCGCGCGCGAGACCGAATCAAGGGCAGCCTTTTTATTCGTCTTGTCTGCAACGGGGCGTTGATTATCCGACGGAAGTTGCGCGTGTAATTGTTTTCTCTCTCTCCGCTTTGATTTATCCGTCTTGCGCGAGCTCGCTCCTTCTCTCGATGACGAGCGCCTGATATCGCCTTTTGTAAGCTCGACAGCGCCAACTCATGCCTTTCCTCTCCCTCTCTCTCCTTGATTCCGTCCGAGGCATCGCGATCGTCTAATGGATTCGTCATTTTTTTCTTTACACTTTGACTTTTATAGATCGCCATCGATCTTAATTAAAATTTCGTTACGCGGTAATTGTCGGGGACAATAGCTGATACTACGTATTTATAGGTTTCATGCTACGTGAAAAGGAATATATCATGTGAATGCCTTTTGCGGGTGGTCTTAGTGAACCAAAAGTCCATTCAATTAATAATCAAGTTACCGATGTCCATCAATTATGCGTCTATATTCGCGGAACTCTTAATCGTGAGGTATTTGATATTTTTTTGTCACTAATGACATCAATTCGCTTTTACTCGGCATTAAAAATTATACAAGTATTATACTTGGTCACATATGCGAGTTATTAATTATCGCTCGAGGAGTTGAGCTGCTGGTTATTAATCGTTATTGATTGCAAAATCGACATCTGAATTCCAAATATTTCGTTGTGTTATGAATGTATGAGTATGTGAACTGGATTCAGTAAAACTAGTTAATATATGAATAATTTATAACTCATTCGTAGGAGCTCTTTTTTTCCTCGCAATCTTTTTCTGCAATAGACTACTTATATCAATCTGTGGAAAGTTATTAAACACCAAATTTTCTTCAACTGGCACATGTTGGTTTTTTATATAGCTGAATGTGTATTTTTATCGGTACATTTGAATTCAGATAATTTACATTTTACCTAATTAATGACAAAAAAGTGAAGCCAATATTTCGGCTAATTGACTAAAATAAATGCAAAATGAACATTTCCGGCTTTCTTTTCCGTTCGATCTGCAAAGAAAATATCATGCTATTCGCATGCGATGCTTGTAATTTAAGTTTAAGAAATAATATATTTGCGAAACTTTAAAAACTAAACGACGGCATCGATTGAGTTTTGTATATTTTATAAAAAATAAATTATAATTCACTGAAAATGAAAAAAAAATTCAGGAGTTCACGTTTGTTGCGGTAAATTCATTCTTTTCTTTATCCAGTCTATTCGACCGAAATATTCGACTGCCAATCACACTTCATTTTCTGAAATGCGATAAAAACTTTGATGATAGCTATTGACAACTGCCTTCGATCTTCATCATTAATATTATTAGATTTCTTGTTCTCATCGTGTACGTTGCTAGGAGAAAGGGACATATGCGAGAGATCAAATATAGACAAGTTAATCCACAACAATATTAAAGCCACGTACATCGCGTCAAAATCAAGTGTATAGGCAGCAACATGTTAATAACTTGAATTGGCCTTGAAATTCCACGTCAACTCTGTGCATTTGTACAATAGCTCTAGCAGCCGCGCGATAATATATTAGCAGGCGGGAGAGAGTCGGCGGGAGGCGCATAACGGATGCACAAGTTGGCCGGATGTGACGGGCGCTCTCTCGCGAGGAGATTCCCGGCGCGCGACCCCCTGCCGACATATATTCGCGGGGTGTCGCGACGTAGCCGCCTCGCATTGAAAAATCCACTCACTCTCTCTCTCTCTCTTTCTCTCTCTCTCTCTCTCTCTCTCTCTGAAAGAGTCGGAGTGATGCAATAATAAGCCGGCGCATGGTCAGCTCGAAAAAATTGGATATTGCGAATAATAAGTTTCATAGCCGTGCGCGTAGGATTTTGTCGGAGCTGGATTACGATGGGTACTTCGTTTCGCGCCTGTTTGTACACGAGTGCATTTGAAACGCCGAGCTTTCATTGCTACTTTCATTGCTCGTCTGGGAAAAACGTTATCGTTGTCGACGAGGTAGTAGGCAAAGCATCCGATGCGTGCGCATGTCGTTGCATAAAATTCGACAAGGAGCTTTCGCGAGAAAAAGCTCTGTGCGTCGGATATAAGGAATAAAAGGAAAAGAAAAAGGCACGCACGCGAGGAACAAGGTCCGCGAGAACGCGTGGCAATACGATCTCCGCGATCCCCGCGCGCGCGCGCGCGCAAATAAAAAGACGCATAATCGACATCGTGTAGACAAGATCGAGAAACGCCGCGCGCAAGAAGCACACGGGAGATATCATACGATCGCTCATAATTTTCGCTTTACCTTTTACGCGGTATAAGAATGGCCCCTCGTCACATACCAATCATTGTTTTCATTACTTATGTTGGAGCCCCGCGGGAGCCTTTCTGTTTTCTCCTCTTCCCTTTTGCGTGTCGCGCGCCACGTTTATCGCGATGCCTTTTTCAGGCTGCGGGTCGATTATTATTTATCGATTGCATGCGCTGCATCCACGGACTTTTCGTATGATTTGTATTGGCGCGACGCGAGGTAGTAGTCGATGGGATTGTACTTTGCTTGGTAGAAGTGTTGTGCGTTTGTTCGTCCGATCTCGCGCAATGTTTCAGAACTGAAATGTCGACGAAAGAATTGGACGACAAAACCTTCTCTATTGTGGCAGAGAAACATGGAAGCTTGGAAACGTAAAATCATCTTCGTGCACATTGACAACACAAGCAGCAACAAGACAATCGTGCTTTTGTTATGACTAGCATTGATATACCCGTTCTCTTGCCCGGCCACTGTTATATTCGTGCAATGTCTCTTCTTCGTCTTTGGCAAACGATGCTAATTTAGCATTCAACACGATTTGCAACTTCAATCAAATCGATCCTTCATCACAACATCGTCCTCCATTCACCACAGGTATATTGCTATTATACACACGGAAGTGCATACGTATAGGCACTTGTCATTCATCGTGACTGTTCATTCACAAATGAGCTTGATGCTCTTTTGTATAAAGATACTCCTTTCTCTCATTGTCATTTAGAGCCATTGTGCCACGATATACGCCACTAGCGACGTGTCGCATTATTGTAATTCGTCTTAAACACCAGATAGAAATCTCATAGATGCGTGAGTGTCCATAGGTTTTTCTCTTG